GATCTGCAGCACAGACATGGTACAGGGGGCACAGAGCCTGTTCCCACACCAGCTCCATGGAAAACACGAGGAGCTGGTGCTGAGCTCAGGGTGCTCCTACAGCCTTGGCTGAAAATGGGAATTTGGGCTGTCAAATAAACTGTGTCTTCTTTCTCTGACCTTCCTCGCTCTTTGTTTTCGGGTCTTCCGTCATTTCCCAGTGGAAACACCAAACACGGGGCTACAAACGTTTATAAGCATTGGGGATGTGTGGAAACACCAAACACGGGGCTACAAATGTTTATAAACATTGGGAATGTGTGGAAACACCAAACACGGGGCTACAAATGTTTATAAGCATTGGGAATGTGTGGAAACACTGGAAATCCCAGTCACTGCAGCGCCGGGGTGGGGACAGGCAGCACTGCCCCAGGCAAACCCAGCCAGAGCAGAGCACATGGATCAGAGGAAGCCCTTCTTTTTTGGGGGGGGTACCCTCCCCATGTCCAGGAGTGCCCGTTCCCACTTCCAGAGGTGCCCCTTTGCCCGGCCACGTGCCCCCTGCTCTCCAGAGTGATCCCATCCCTCTCCAAGCCAACCCCAACTCCAGGGCCGCTCTTCCTGAGCAGAGGGGACGCTGCTGATGAATATTAATTGCTTTAACATCTCGTTGTGATGAGGCCAAGCCCATTTCCCTGCTTTGGCTCGTTGCTAGGGAACTGGGAATGGCAAGTCATGGATTTCGTTTGCTTCAGGGCCCGCTCGGGTTGCAGAGCAGAGCTGAGCCACAGAGCAGGATTCGCCTCTTAATTATTTACAGTCTAATAAAAGAAAAGGGGGGGGGAAATTAGTGTTTTTTCTCTCTCCTCACAGTTTGGCTTTCAGACTACGCAGGGTCATTAATCCCCAGGGCCAGGCAGCTTTTTGGAGCAAGGCAGGAACACTGGCCTGTTTAACTGCCGGGCTGCACCTTGCAGAACAGCCCAGCAAATGGCCAGATTTAAATTTAATTGTCTGGAAATTGTGAGCATCATATTCCCTCATTTCACTGCTAATTTTAGGTGTAAACAAGGCAGCAAGTCCTGTCGCCTCCACCTGCATGAGCAGCACTGGCAGAGTCTTCCCTGGGCAGGGAATGTGCCTCCTCCTGCCACCATCCTGTCGGGGCAAAGCTGGGGGGTCACTTTGACAGGATCAGCAGGGATTTCTTCCCTCTCAGCCCAGCTGCCCCTTTCCCCTCCATTTCTGCACCAATGTTTGGCTGCCTCGCCCAGGGAGCACCAGTGAGAGGTGCCTGGGAAGCAAAAAAACAAGAACCAAAGACAGAAAGGAATGAGTCCTTCAGGAGCAGGAACCCAGGCAGGGGCACTGCCCACCGTGTGAGCCCCAAGGAGCCAGCCTGGTGTGTCTGCTGAGCCTCCCAGACACAGAACTCCCCCCTGGGAAACATCTCCCTCCTGCCTCCCGTTGGTCCTGCAGCAGTCACGGATTTCAGGGGTTTGCTCCTCACTGGAGCTGAGCAAGGGATGAAGTCCATTTATTCATCAGATCCTTTCCTTCTAAATGTGCTGTGGAATCCCCCTGACTGACTGTTCCCAGCAGAATCCAGACATCTTTTTGGGCACCCACCTGTCCCATGGCCACCTTCCTCCCGCAGAGCACAGACCTCTCATCTGTTCCACATCAGCTCCCACTGCTCCAGAATCCTTGCAAAGCAAGACAGCCAAGGTTTAGGATCCTTGCAGTTGCTCCTCACCCATTTGAGGATGTTTGTTTTTTTAATTTCACCTTGAGCAGCATTAAAACAGGGGGTTACACCTGATATTTGGGCTGGAGAAGTGAGGGATGGTACTTTGGTCTGAGTGGAGACTGAGCCATTCAGCACTGCAGGACCCAGAGCTCTTTGGGCTGGTGAAGGCTCAGATGCTTTCACACTTCCCTGTCATGAGCCATGGAAATACAAACAGCCTTTTAATATGTGTATAACGTGTCATTAGTCATCCCCATCCTGTGCCATTTAAAGCAATATTTATCCTCCCGACAGAAGTTATTTTGCACCTACTTGCTGAGAATTGGTTTTACAAGGTTCCCCATGCTTAGATTGATTATAGTTATTACTTTAATAGTTAGAAAAAGGAATTTTATGACAAATAATGTGTTGGCACCCCATTCTGACTTGCCCTGTGCTTTCACTCACAGTCATTAGACAGAGCTGTGCAGTGCATGGGGGAACCATTTAACTCCCAAACCCATGCCAAGGAATGCACAATTCTCTAAATTGCCCGAATTTACCTGTTGCCTCCACTCCTCACATCTTGTCAGGAACCTGCAGTGAACAGGGCAGGAAGGAGATGCAGGTTAATGCAATAACAAATAACATTTATTTGGTAGTGATTCCAAGGGCACCTGACTTATAATATAGGTATATACACAGGTAAAACCAATGGATTAATTTTTTCCCCCTGATTTAGTGGGGAGTTCTCTTTTTTTTCCTTTTTAGTGTGGAGTTCTTTAAAATCCCATCATTACAACCCATGAGTGAACTCCTGCCTCTTTGTCTGCAGTTGGATTTCCATATCAGCACACTATTAACAGAAATAATCTTCCAAGCTTTTAATTGACTTCTGCCCCTCCCCTTTGTGTTTTTTACGGTCATTGTTCTCTGACCTGCCTGCAGTTTTGGTCTGGAAAATACTGTAATTGCACGTGGCTTCAATTCGGGCACAAAATCTCTCCCCATGTGGGGCTCTGGGTATTTTTCCCACCTGGAAATCCCTGGGAAATGGCAGGAGGGAAATGCAGGGGGCACGAGCTGAGCTGCACCTCTGGAACTGAGGAGCAGCCTAATGGGCAGAGGCTGACTAATAACATCATTAATAATGAGGCTGTAATTAGGGGTCAGCTGGAGAAAGGCTCGGTGTGTTCCACTGCCTGGCTCCAAGGCAGGCAGAAAACCAGGGTAATCTGAGCTGTGAACACCTTGTTTATCCAGAACACCAGGAATTACCAGCAGCACCACTGGCAGCCAGGAGGCTCCAAAAAAGCTGCCCTGGCCAATGCTCCATCTGGACCCAGCAGCAAGGGCTGGGTGGGACTGCTGATTTTCCAGGGCTTATGCACAAAGGAGACTTGCTGGGCCCTCTCAGAGCAGGAACTGGACTATGTCCCAGCTGCAGCAGTGGAGCTGCATCCCCCTGCCCATGTTGGTCACTCATATCCCAAAGAGGAAATCAAAGCTGCCTGAACCTTATGCTCAGCTAAAGCTCTTAAGAGGCAATAGCTCCCACAAGTGTGTGTCCTTATCCAGAGGCCTGAGAAGAATTCATGTTAGCATGCTCTCCTCCAAATCAATAACACTTCAATAACAGGATTATTAGAAACACAACATCATATTTTCCAGAAAGCTCATCAGGAAACACAAGCAGCTCGGTAACACATTTAAAATGTTCATTACCATGAGGTGCCTTGGGACTGTGATAGATTTTTCGCTTTTTTCCCCCCAAGAACAGAATGAGATGAGGGTGATGAATTGTTTTTCCCACAATAAACAAATCAATAAAACAAGTGGCCAGCAGCAATTTATTCCTGTGGGTCCCACGAGGCAGTTTCAGCTTTGGCCTCTGCAGGGAAAGCATCACCCATAAGGGACCGAAGGGACTTTGGGATGCACAGAAGGTGGGTATTGCCAGGCTCCAGAGGGTCCCATTCCTATTCCTCCCTGTGGCAGCCCCCTCCCCAACACCCCATCCTCTGCCAGTGCCCCTCACACCCTTTGCCAGCGTTGATTCCCCCAGACACGATCTCGGTTCTCCGCAGGTATCACAGCCCTGGTTCCCTCCCTGCCGGGCCTCTGTTGTCACTTTGATGTCGCCGTTTACGCTGTGTCCCCGTCACAGATAATGTAGTTTGTTCTCTTCCTTTCCCCGGCGCTGTCTCTCCCTCCGGCTCTTCTTCTCCCTCCCGGTTTTCTTTCTGCTCCCCATTGTGTGCCGACAATGGCCCCTCTCGGTTCTTCACAGGCTGCATTGTCCCGTAATTGCTCTGCTATCTCCCAGGAAGGGGAAATTCGTTCTGATTTGATCACCTTATTTTTCTCTGTATACAGGATAAACGCTTCCATTAATCCGTGTGTTTGCAGTGGTGGATCTGGGTGAAACATGAATAAAACTTCTTACATAACAGCACTGCCAAATTACAGATTCCCCTGGAACCCTTTCTCTTGGAGACTGCTGCTGGTAACACACCCACGTGCTTTTATCTGCTCCAAGAACTCTGATATCAGCTCAGGCCTTTCAGATCTTTTCCAGAGCAGGTCCAGCAGCTGGAAAGGGGCAGGAGATGCAGGAGCAGCTGAGCAGGACATTCCCTGCCAGGTGAAAAACCTGGTTTAGAGTCGGGGAGGGGGGGAATTTTGCTGATGTTTTCTGAGAACGGGACTTTTCAGCACCAGGGAAGAACACTGGTTCAGATGCCAGTAAATCCCGTGCCAAGGGAGGGTTTGGGACTCTGGGGAGAGAGGCTGAAGCTGAGAGCAAAGCAGACCCAGGTCTCTCCTCCCTCCACCAGTTCCCATATAAAGCTAAAAGGCAGAACAATTCAGCACCACAGATAAAACACTCGCAAGTTTTACAAGCAGAGAAAGTATTTTATTGGCACAGACTCTTTTTTTACTAACCTGGCATAAAAGCTATCAAACTATATAAATAAACCCGGGGAATTATCTCCTCCCTCAGCCAGGACCCTCACTGGGCCCTGAATGGATTCATTTTAAATGGGTTATAAATTTCTGATAAAGGATATTTCGGCTCCAAATTGCGTATTTAACGATGCTGCTGAGCTCCTGCACCTCTGCAGAGCAGGGCCAGGCTCTCAGGGGGGCTCTGGGCTGGGCCCTGTTAAACCCCCTGCCCCTCCTCTGCCCCTCCCTGCAGCACAGGAAGGTGCTGGGGGGCCTCAGCACCCTCCTGGGGCTGGACAGGACCTCCTCACCATTCCTGCCCTGCAGGAAACCCTCTGGAGTATTTTCCACACCTGCCCTGTGGGTCTGAACCCCGAGGTGCTCGGGAGCAGAACTAACCCAGGCTGCCCTTGGCAAACCCTCAGCTGGGCTGGGCTGGGGATGTGTCCGGGCTCCTGCACCTCGGGAGACAGGAGGCAGCATTCCCATGGGATGCTGCTGTGCTGGAAACGGCTTCAGCTCCCACCTGCACTTTCCCTCTTAATTTAAATGCTAATTCAGAAATGGAACATCAGGAGGGGGAGATGCAGAGAGACACAAACACAGTCCCTGCTGGTGCCTCTGCCTGGCAAGTGAGAGCAGGAGGGGAACAAATAAATCCAGGACAAGGAGACAGGCAGGTGAACTCCCAGAGCGAGGGAAGGCTCACCTGGCTGATGGATCACACCTCTCTCCAGCCCCTCATCCACCCCTTTTCCCCTTTAGGCAAAAGCTCCATTAAATCCCACAGAGAAGTAAAACTGGAGCAAGGTCAGAGGCAACAGGGAGGGATTTAACAACCTTTGCCTGAATTCCCAGCTCAGCTGAAAGGAAGATGGTGGGAGAGGGAGAAGCAGCACACGTGGTGCTGTTGGCAAGAATGGAGCTGTGACACCAAGACTTCGGCACGAGGGCTGTTCTGTTGAGTTCCTTTGATCCACACAGTGTTAAATCTGCTCACATCGCTCCCGAGGACCATTCCAGAAGAAAGGCGGATGCTAATGAGAGTCGTTGGTTCTGCAGTGTTTCAAACGCGGGTGTTTTCTCTTTTGGTCAAAAGGCTCTTTTATGTGCCGGGATTTTCAGATGTGCTCTGCTCATCCCGGACGATTCACCAAGAGATGAGATTTTATTAGCAGCTCCTCGGCGGGCGATGGGCTGGGCCTGACAAATTAAAAAACAGGCAGCACACTTCAGACAAACTCGTCAGTGACCTGCTGCTTCCCCCCCAGGAATTGCCTGGCAGAGCTGCCTCTGTCATGCAGAGCAGGGGAGAGAGCAGAGCTCCCAAATTTCAGCAGCAGGGCAGGGAGGTTTAACCATTTTTTATCTTCACAAAGCTTTATAAAAGCTGGATCCAAACCACACCGAACTCAAAAAATCCCACTGGCCCCCGAGGCTGCGCTGCAAAGCTGGTTTTCATGTGATATCCATCATGTGATATCTTCAGGCTTTTGATCGAGGTAGAAACGCCACCAGAAGCTTTGCTTTTGCTATTTCCATGCACTGGCACGGGCACCTCCCAACCTGCTTCCAGCAGGAATTTTGACCTGTGAACAGCTCCAATGTTCCAAGGAAGCACAGCACTCCCTCTGGGAGTGCTGTGCTTCCTTGGAACATTGGAGCTGTTCCACCCCTGCCTCCCTGGGGCCGGTTAATTGTCCGTCTCTCCCAGGATGTCTCTCACCAAAAAGTCCTGAGCCCTCCAAACAAATCCAGCAGGACAGACCTGGGATCACCCAGTTCTGATGGAAGTGACCCCAAATGCTCCCATTCCTTCCCCCAGAGGCTGCAGCTGAACCCCCCTGGGTCTCCCTGAGCACCCCCAGGAGCTCTGCCCTGCCTGGGAAGGCAAAACCCCGAGAGCTGCTCGTCTGAGGAAGAGCTGGAAACCCAACAGGGAGCTGGAGCCAGGAATTAATGCTTTGGAAGACAGTATTTTTTTTGATTGACTTTAAATAGATGTTTCCCTTCTCGTTCATAATAAAGTGAATGGTGCTGAGAAAGCCAGAGGGAAGGATACAAACCCAGCCTGCCCATTGCTTTGGAAGCATCTTTAAATATTTCCCTCCCACAGTCAGTGCTGGGTTGTGAGTAACAAATGACAGACAGAAGAGAGCAGATGAGTATCTATTTATGCAGGAAAATGAAATGTATGAATAGTTATTTTGAGGACAAATGTATTTTGACAGGTATCTAATTTCGTTCTGTTGATAAAATGCACTTTCTTGCATTCTGGAGTTGATGACTTGTTGGTGGGTTTTTTTATTTGCAATTTTCGTGGGTAAAAAAAAAAAAACAAGCTGTAAAATTATATTTGTCAAACATCAAAAAGCAATTTAATTTATTGTCATCACAAATGTGTTTTAAAAAAAAATATCAACTAGCCAGACACTATTTATTCAGCATAACCCCCAAATGAACAGGGAGTTGTGGTGAGGCACAAACACATAGGGGAGGACCCAGGTGTAATCTGGCAGTGAAGAGGAGCCCAGAAAGGTCTCTACAACCTTGCATTTGAACCAAAAGAGAGAAGAAAAATAGCATTAAGTTCAGAGTCAGTGCTCAGCTCTGCTGGCAGCCCAGTGTGAGGGCTGGGGTCCATCTGCATCCTTGTTTTCCCTCTATTATAATATAAGCACTAACAATTATATATATATATATTATAGAACAATTATAATGCTTGGGAAACACCACCAAGCAGCAAGAGCAGAGAGGACACAGCTCCTGAGCTCACTGACTAAAAACCAGCAGCTGGTCACTGAATGTGGCCAATCTCATTCCTCTGCTGCCAATAACTGGTTATCTCAACCCAGCAACACAAACATCTCAGGCTGCATTTCAATCTCTGGTTAATACATCTCTTTACTGGGGCTGTTTGAGTGCCATTACACGGGAATTTCATGGCTTTTTAAAAGCAGGACAAGGGACCCCGGAGGGATTTGCTGCCAGTGAAACACTGGCCTGAGGAAGATGAATTTAGTGAGTGAGTTCTGCCAGCCTGGAACTCTGTGGAAGAGCCATCACCTCAGAAACACTGTTCCCTCAAAGTTCATAAAAAAAATTATGATTGCAATAAAAGCCAATGACTAAATATCATCTGCCATAAAAAAAATAAAATTTTTAAAAAAAGGGTGGTTTGGGGAAGGACACTCAAAACTCGCAGCTGCCAAAAGAACACTGCAAAGGAGAGACAACATTTTGGCCTGAACTCACCATTTTTGCTGAAGAAAGGAGAGTGTCACCCTGTTCCCTGCTTGGCCTCGCCAGCAGATAAATATTAGCCCTCCCTGCTACAGGTTTGACCTAAAAACCCAGTATTTGGTCAGAATTGAACCATGGCCTGTGATTTAAAGCTGAGGCACTTGCTGAGACTTGAGCTGCTTCAACTCCTTGACTTTGAGAGAATAACGAGGGAGAATATGAGAAAATGAGAGAATAACTGTGAATAGCTTTCCAGAGGCTGCCTGAGTTTGTTCCAGGCTTTTCCCAGGAAAATCAGGCCCTGCCTTTCCCGGGCTCAGCTCGAGGCAGCACCCTGCACCCAGGCTCACACCATCAGCAGCTCTTGCTGATCTCCCAGCCCTCGGTTCTGAAGCCCCTACAAACCACCCCAGCTCCAGAGCAGGTCCCTGCTCGGGGTTTCCCAAGGAGGCAGAAGCTGATGGGGCTCAGCAACAGCTCCTGCACATTCCCTGTGCTCCCAGAGAGTGGGGAAGGAGGGAGCTGTGCCTGGGGAGAGGGGGGGCAGCTCCAGAGGTGAGGGCATGGGATGCTGCTGCACCATCGTGGTGTTGCTTAGCAACTCTGCACCTGCAGTTCGTGGAATTGGGATGTGTCTGAGGCTCTGATGAGGATGGAAAGGTCACTGCTGGCAGGGAGTGACCACGTCCTGCTCCTGCTCCAGTCCCACCCGCTCCAGGCTCCAGAGCTGGGGCTGAAGCAGCCCCAGAGCTGCCCTGCCCAGAGCTGGGCTCACGCAGGAGCACAGCACAGTGTCCCTGCAGCCAGGCAGCAGCCAAGGCTGTTCATCACTGCTGCTGTTCAGCTCCACATCTGGAGAACTGCTCCAGGCTTCTCATTTTCTCTGGAGGGCAATTACTGCTCTCAGCTGCAGAGCTGTCTTTCCACAGCAACTTCCAGAGCAGAGCAGAATAAAACCTCTGAGCTGTTCTAACCCCGGCCAGCAAACCTGCCTGGACAGACCAGCCCTATCCAGCACTGCTCCCACCTTCCAGCAGGTTTTGGGATCCCCTGGGAGGCTGGAGGATGCCCCTCCCTGTTCCAGCACATCTGCAGCACGGGCAGGAACAGCTCACCTCACCCACACACCCGTCACACACTCCAGATGGATAGGCAGTCACTCCCACTCCTCAGGAATGATCCAGATTACTCTCCCCTTCTGGGTTTAATGCTTAATCCCAAACATTTATCATATTCTACTCCAAGCCTCCTACTTGTGTGCGTGTTCATTCTTCGCCAAAGCTGCTTTTTCTTTCCAATCTCTTTAATTATCTGCTCTGCAGCAGCGTCTCCAGCTGGTTCCTCCTGCTCTGCTGTCCTGGGGATCGAGCATTCCTCCAAGGGGGGCACTAGACCTCTGGAGCAAGAACTCTCCCCTTCCTGGTGCAGTGGGAAAGGATAATTATGACATCCTTGAAAACACAATGTGCCTCGAGCTGCATCCTGGCAGGTCCCACATTTCAAAGGAGACTCCCCTGCTGAGGGGGGGTAAAGGGACTACCATGAAGAGCTGACTCAGCCACCCACCTCCCACCCCAGCCCCCCTTGCAGGCTGGAGGGCAGGGAAAGGAAGATCTGCTGGCACAGCCACCCAGGGCTTCCCATCCTGTGCCAGCCCCAGAACACCTCGTTTTGACCTCACTCCCAAAGATTTCCCACTCCTTCCCTTGCTTTTGGGGCCATTTCCCCAGGAGAAGCAATAAGAATCTGGTAAGGCCAGGGAGTGGTGTTTTGTGACAGTTGGAATCGCTCTGACCCTGCAGGAACAGGCTCAGGCAAGGACACGCTTCCCGTTCCTTTACCAGGAGCAGCAACACAGAACAAATCTGCTCTTTTGCTTTCAGGACAACACAGCTCCATGGAACCACTGCCTGCTTGGGTTCCCTGCAGTTTTATTGCTGCTCTGCCCAGGGTTTCTTAATACAGAGGCTGAAAATTGGGAAAATCCAAGCCTTTTGTGAAGGAGTAACTGCAGAAATAACCAGCTGTAGCTGCAAAAGCAAAGCTGCAGGATACTGGGACAAATTTGGGCTACTGAGCCCATCCTTACCCAGTGTGGAGAAGCCCCCAGGATCCCTATTCCATTTTCTTTCCAGCCTGTACCAGAAAGGGGCCGAACACGGTGCTCCGGGGGGTTGCCATGGTTACAGCACGGTGTTGCATAGCAACAAGCTAAGCTGAGCATCACCGAGGCATTTTTCCTTTCTAAATTCCTTCCCCTTGTGGATTCATCCAAGTGAGTTAGATTGATCTGCAGCCCCGGCACAAACACACAGCAGGGAACAGCCACCGATTGATTTTGTGGCAGGACCGTCCCTGAGGGGTGGGACAGTGAGGGATGTGCCCCAGGCACCAGGAAAAGCTCCTCTGCCCGGTGTCTCTGCCCAGGTGGGACACACCTGGATGGGTGGGTGAGGCTGGCACGGCCTCAGGGCGGTGAGGATGGGAATTCCATGGGGAATTTCTGCAAATACAGACTGGAAATCCTGCGTGCAACAGAGCATTTACACCTCCCAGCACAGCTCTAGCAGTCAGGGCTCAGGGGCTCACTGGCACTGGGCAGTGCCAGTGCCAACCTCCCCAGCACAAACAGGCGTCCAACACCTCCAAAGAACTTTCCTTCAAGCCCAGAAAATTTCCCCCCTGTGCTTTTCAGGCTGCAGAGCTTTCCAGCATTTCTGGCACAGGAAACATCCGTCGTCCTCCTCCTGCTCCAGAAGGGAGCTGGCAGAGCCTGGCTGGCACTCAGGAATGCAGCTCTGGCTCCTCTGTGCCAGGGGAGGAGTTTCTTTCCTCTCCAAGCCTTGTGCCCACCCCGTTCCCTGCTCTGACACCCCCAGACCCATCCCCACACTCTGCACCCTCCGTTCCTTCATTTCACCCTTCCTCAGACACTCCCAGGAGTCCTGCTGGGCACATCTGCTCTCCTGCCATCCCCTGCCCGAGCACAGGTACATTCCTGCCTGCAGTTCTTCACCTCTGGGCACATCTGGAGCCTCTGGCTGCCAGCCTGACCCCCCTGCCATTCCCAGGATGGGGAGCATGTTACACACACAGCCCAGCTCAGTCACTTGTTATCTTGGTCAAGAAGCTACTGTGGTTTTTACTCCATTCTCCTGTTATTTCTGCTGCTGTGAGGGGCTGTCTAACCAGATATAACTCAAGAATAATGGTGAGCATTTACAGGGATTATTTCCTCTGCCATCCCCGAGCTCACCTCTGCTGACCCCCAGCCCTGTCCCCTCAGCCAGGACTATGCTTTGCTTTCCCTCTGTGCTGTATTGACTCTTTCCACCTGCCTTCTGTTCCCTGTTCCTAAATTCTTTTCTTAGTGAGGGAATCCATTTGCTTCTGGCAGCCACAAGGATCACTCAAAGCACCCACCTCTTTGCTGTGCCAGTCCACTGCTGGACAGGTAAAACCACCCCAAATTTCCAGCTGTAACTGAGACAACAGGGTTTGCTTTGTGCTTCCTCTGACAGATCTTTTTTTTTCCCCAGATTAAAAAAAACCAAAACACCACAAAACGACAAACAAATTGTTATAATCCAACAAACAGGTGGCAAGGAAACAGCTTGCCTTAAAATTCTTATTTGTAACTAAGTAAATCTCCTGGGATTGGTCTTATTCTTGCCAATATGAGAAGTTTATCTGTGATTTTCCATCCTCAGGGGGACTGAGCTGCATCAAGACCAAACCACAGCTCTTGTTTTGTGCTCCCAGCCCCAGCTCCACTTTAAATCACAGCCTCCAGAAATCAGCAGGGCCAATCTCCTCGTGATGGCACAGATTAGCTGAGACTCTGAGTGCTGCACGAAGCCCTGTGCTGACCCAGAGCCTTTGGATGTGCTGGATTCAGGGGCCATCACCAGGCTCCAGCCCAGCAGAGCCACTTGAGCAGAGCAAACAACCCACCAGGCAGCTCAGTGAGAGCAGATTGCCCGGGCAGCAGCAAAGGGTGAGCAAAAAAGGAGCAAAAACCAACCTGTCCTTTCCTGAGGGCTGTGCTAAGACCCCAGCACAGTCAGGGCTTGAATCACAGTTAGTGGGATTTAGGGGGAAGGTTCAGAGGTCATTTTTGAGGGACTGCTGTGGGTGTTTGGAGCAGGGGAGCACATCACGGGCATCCTGGAGGACTCCTGTCCTGCACACCTGCCCAGGGGTGCACTGGGATGCTCCGAGTTCCCAGTCCCACCTCCCCGCAGATGATCCCAGCTGCTTCAGCCCCTCCTACAGCCTGGCTTCTCTCCTCCTCCTGCAGACTGAAATCCAGCTCCTCTGCCCTGCTGGCTCCGGGAGGGGCCGGCTGCGAAGTGAATAATCCATCCCGGGAGGATGGAACAAACGCAGTGATGCGCCTTCATTCCCAGGGATTCCCTCTCCAGCGCTGCCCTGCTCGCTTTCTCTCGGCTGTTTTCAGCCTTTTCCTTCTCCCTCCGGGGTAAATTAAAGGCAGCTTTCCTCAGCCTCCTCCCAGCCCTGACGCAAACACTGCCGCTCTGCAGGGAAAGCTGGAATTCCATCGAGAGGTGACACGTGCCTTCAGTCACCTCTGCACAACCTCCCGTCACTCAGGGCACGGTCCCAGCCCTCTGCCACCGCTCCCACACCTCCCAGCTGGGCCGGTTTGCTCCACTTTGGGGCACGGCAGCACCCAGCACGCTCTGCTGGCAGGCACAGCATCCTGCAGGGCACGACCTCTGAGGTCATTCCGTGCCAAGCAGTGCTAAAAGCTCCACGCCCTGCAGGTTCCCCCCTCCTGGAAATCAGAAGGTTCACCACAAGGTGCTCATCTGGCCCTGCTCTGACCTCAGTGCATTCACACAGCATCCATCCGAGCAGTGGCACTGAGCATTTGCCTCCTATAAATTACTGGAGAACAGCAATAAACCCACCACAGGTTTAATGTTCTTGTCCTCCCTCCCACCCAGTGGTTGCTAAAATATTTATTGCAAGCATTCATACACAACTATTAAGAAGTATTTCCTAATGAAGGGGCTTTATAAGGCACAGCTTTGGCCCTGTTCCCTTTCTTCATCACCTGCAATGCTGGACAAGATTCCAAACAATCCTGGGAGCCTTTAGTTAAATGGGATTGGCTTCTTCAAGCTCAAATGTTGCTGCATCCAGGCTTTTAAAGAGAAACTTTCCTGTTACCATCTTCAACCCAAGGCAGCAAAATCTAATGCAGCTCCAAGGAGGGACCAGCTCAGGGCAGGGGCCTTGTTTTTTACCAGACTGTGGGTGACTGAAAAAAATCTTTACAGTTCATAGTGAACCTTCTTTTGGAGCAAATCAGGACTTCTGGAGGAAAGCTGCATAATTGCTGACAGAGAAAAGCTGGGCCTGCCTGTAATACCTTCTAGAAACAAGCTGTCACTGAAAGCTGTCTAACACTGCCAAAACTGTGATTTCTTAGAGAGCTCCTGACTTCATCACATCATCAGGATATTGTGCAGGTTCCTGATGGTTGGTTTCCATTGCTGATTACTGGGGAATAAAAGGCAATAAAGTAAATCCAGTGACAGGTTCCAGCACCAGGCAAACACAACACGAGAAAAACTGATTAATCAGGTTGTTGGGGGAAGACAAATAATTGCTGCATGAATTTATTTGAGACTCCTGGAGCACTTGGCTAATTCTCTCTTTTTATCAACAGCAGTTTCTCTTCCCTTCAGAAGCTCTTACAGGGGTTTACCCTCATGGAAACACTCTCTAAACACTCCAGCTCCTGCCTTTCCCATGCACTTACTCATCCTCCATCAGCCTCAGTGGGTTTTGTCAACTGGTTTTGGGTCTGGTGGGCACCAAATCCCAGAGGGTGAAGCTGTGCAGGCTCAGATCAGGGATTCCTCATTGCTGGGACCATATTCAATGCACAGAACCCAAAGCTTATATTCCATTTGGCTCAGAAAGCCAAAGGACTCTGTATGTCCACCTGCCCACATTTTACACCCAAATTCCTGCTCGTGTCTTACATCATTTGAAGCAGAGTGTTCCAAATGCTCAGCAGAGCAGAGCTCTTCAGAAAACCAAATTGCTCACTTGGCCCTGCTTTTTCTTGTCCCCCAGGTCTCAGGACCTTTGCAACCCCGATGGGATTAACCCAGGTTAAACAAAACACGCCCTGAGTCACAGTTGGGTTTGGCAGGTTAAACCCCAAACCCAACCTCTCTTCCCTGAGACTGTGTAAGAGTTAAATAATAAATCATCAGCACATGGGATTAAGCAGAGGTTAAGCAATCAAGTTTTTGTGCCAGTTTAGCTTTTACTGACTGATGCGTGATCTCTGTCACCCCTCCACACCCACCTCTGCAGGAGGGAGACAGCCTGGGCTGCAAACACCAAGCCATTTTCTTCCAGAACAAGTTGGAAACCCCGGAGAGTTCCCTCAGGAACGGCCCCGATGGGATATTTTTGCTTCACACTCGTGTCATTTACACAGAGCCAGCACTGCAGCAAACTCTCACATTGCAGTTCCAGAGCCTTTCCTGCTCTCCAGCCCTCTGGGCAGCTGGGATCCCTCCAGGAGGGAACCCCCCCTCACTCCCTGGCTCTGCTGCTTTGGTCCCGTTTGACAGCCCCACTGCACAGCCCAGGGACACTGCACTGAAGGAGCTCTGCTCCAGCTCTTTGCTTCCCTTTGGCTCCATCAGGAGCTGGATCCTCCACCCCTCCAGTCTATTTTGGGTGTTCCTCTGGCATCTAATGCTGTTGCTCAACAGCTGCTCCATTGCAAGTGTCGACCTGGGCTATTTTTAGCTGTATTATAGTGAGAGGGAGCTCAGAGGAGGCAACTGTCTTCATTACAGTCTCAAGAGCAATTCCCAGGCATCAGCCATTGTCTACATCAATACTTTTATTAATTTGAGTGCAGCATTCAGAGCAGGGAATGTGTGCAGGCACTCTTACTGCATGCTGGCCTCAGCTTAGAGCCATTTAATTACCTCCATTAATAAGCAATAAGGCTCTTAAGAGTAACAATTTCCTTCTCGGGCTCCAAGACAGAAAATGCTGTCTTTTAACTGGTCTGAGAGGATAAAAAAAAAAAAAGCTTTTCAAAGCTGTGGATCATGGAGG